GCTTTTGGAGACAGCTCCTTCTAGTGTCACCCAGAAGTCGTTCTCTCCACTGTCTCAGGTTTAGCCTCCCGAAGGAGACCTGCCAGAACACTAAGCCAGGACATGGCTTTTATATGTGTCCTCCTGGATGGGCATAGTCCTCTTTGTCTCATCTGGCCCAGAGACAGGGTATGTGTCCTTTTTCTAAAATTACTTTTTGTCTTTGGCGTTAACAAATGCTCATTGTCTAAGGGCTTCACTTAGTTGGAACAGTCAGAGTTTTCCTAATTTTACATGCCTCTAAAAGGGAAAGTATAAAGAGGTGGGAAAATTAAGAATAAAGTCAAAGCAAGGAAACTGAAACAGAGCAGGCTTGACATGTCCTCCAGCATGTAGAGGGGGAGCAGAGCCAGTCTATCCCAGTGAAACCTGTCCTCCAAGTCTTTAAGAATGGTTGCCGGGGCTGGAGAGATGGCTCAGTGGTCTAAAGCACCTACTTAGAACAAGCTTAGCAAAAGCATCAGGGACCGCGGTTCAATCCCCCAGCACCACATGCCAGCCAGCCCCGCCCCCTGGTGGGCTGAGCTGGTCTCTCTCTCTCTCTCTCTCTCTCTCTCTCTCTCTCTCTCTCTCTCTCTCTCTCTCTCTCTCTCTCTCTCTCTCTCTCTCTCTCTCTCTCTCTCTCAAATAAATAAATAAATAAAATTAAAAAAAAAAGAATGGTTGCCAACCTAATGTCACTTAACTGGCAAAATGAGTCCCGTGTTTTACATACAGGCATGTATATTTCATAAGTCTGAGCTGGCTAAAAGTCCCGTTTTACAGAGATTTATATAAAATCCACTAGGAGGCTTATTAACAATACTTTCTCTAGCGCTATTTTTTAAAGTCAAGCAAGGAATACCAGTACACTTAGCAACAGTTCAAATGCAACATATACAAGTACAAAGTAGTCATAAAATGTCCCATTAAAGAAATATCAACTTGTAACATTTTCGTATTTTAACTAAGATTGACCAACAGCATTTTGACCAACATTTTAACAAAACTACATAAAGACAAACACAGCGGGGGGGCCAGGGAGATGGCTCAGTGGAATAAGTGCTTCCCTGGCAAGAGCAAGTGCCTGAGTTCAATCCCCAATTCCCAAATAAATAAATAAATAAATAAAACCTTTTAAAAAAAGCATAAGCAATTGTAAACAATTTTAACAGTACTATGAAACAAAACTGTGTGAGGCAAAACATGAACAATTATGAGCAACGGGCAAAGACATTAACATTTGAAGCATAAAAATTTGTTACCTAAGCAAGTCCCAATCCAAAATTTAAGAAAGAAAAGCGAACTCATACCTCTGTCCAATGAAATCAGTGGGAACCTCCAAAATGATACAGGGATGGGCCGGGGAGATGGCTCAGTGGAATAAGCGCTCCCCTGGCAAGCGCAAGGGCCTGAGTTCAATTCCTGGTTCCGCAAGAAAAAAAAAAAAAAATGATACGGGGAGAAAAACTGGTCTCGGGTGGGTGACCTCCAAACCATACAGGGAACCTCCAAATGACATAGGGAAAAAACGATCTCCCAACCTGACCCGCACGAGTTTGTGTTCTCTAAAACCAAAGAATGAATTTTAGGAACAAATGGAGGTTATGAGCAGAATATATTTATTGAGAGAAAGAAAGCTCCTGTCCGAGAGGGACAGGAGGGGGGCCTGAGCGGGTAGTTCCCCCACAATTTTTTAAGGAGAAAATAGGAGCCGGGGAGATGGCTCAGTGGAATAAGCGCTTCCCTGCCAAGCACAGGGGCCTCAGTTCAATCCCCAGTTCCGCAAAAAAAAAAAAGAGAATAATCAAATCAAAATTCTGAAAACACCAACCAAACTGATAAACTTTTACTAGACTGAAGGAGAAAGAATTTGTCTAAATCTTAAGAGGAAATTTGGGACTTGGACTTTTAGGCAATGGGGAAACTGCTAGGACTTGGGTAGCTCTTAGAGATAGACTAAACATATTTGCATAAAGGGGTGTGGATGAGTCTTTGGGAGATAGGGCAGAATGTCATGACTTGTGTCTAGATGTCCCAATGCTTCATGCACTCATAGATGGGGCTTTGAGGAGCTGCTTGGATCATGGGCTCACAGCTGGGTGTGGGGTAGGGTGGTGAAGTCTGGGGGGCAGAAGTGACCCTGGACTTTGATCCCTCTCCTTCATCCCTCTCTGCTCGCTGCCTGCCTGCCATGAGCTTTCTCCTCTGCCAAGATCCTGTGTCTGCCTTGGAGCAAGCTATGGACTGAAACTGCTGCACACTGTGACCAGCACAACGCGTGACAGCAAACACCTGTAATTCCAGCACTGTATTTGGGAGGCTGAGGCAGGAGGATCACCTCAAGGTCATGGCCAGCCTGGGCTACAGGGTGAGTCAAGGCCAGCCTGAACTATGAGGGGTTTTTTGTACCAGGAATTGAACTAGGGATCTTGTGCTTGCCAGGCAGGAGCTGTGCCACTGAGCTATCGCCTTGGCTCCACAATGAGATCTTATCTCCAATCAAAAACCTATGAGCCAAAATAAACCTTTCAAAATAAAAAAAATAAACCTTTCATCCTTTAAATTGTGGGTGTTCAGTATTGTGTGAAAATAAAGCAGGTGTGTCTCTGATATGCTTTAATTTGTAAAGAAAATAACTTGCTAATTTTAGCATAGTTTTTCATGCAAAAGTGCTAGCTGTGGGCTGGTGAGATGGCTCAGTGGTCTAAAGCACCTACTTACAAGCTTCGCAAAGCACAGGGACAGCGGTTCAATCCCCCAGCACCACATGCCAGCCAGCCCCTCCCCCTGGTGGGCTGAGCTAGCCACACACACACACACACACACACACACACACAAATTTTAAAAAATATTTTTTTAAAAAAGTGCTAGCTGAGGGGCTGGAGAGATGGCTCAGTGGTCTAAAGCACCTACTTGGAACAAGCTTGGCAAAGTACAGGAACCGCGGTTCAATCCCCCAGCACATGCCAGCCAGCTGCGCCCCCTGGTGGGCTGAGCTGGCCACACACACACACACAATAAATAAATGTAATAAATAAAAATTAAAAAAAAAATAAAAAAAAGTGCTAGCTGTAATCCCCACAATGGATAACAAAACCACCAAACCACCGATGTGGGGCCAGGCGTCCCTCCGTGGCGGAGTGCGTGCTCAGAATGTGCAGAGTGCTCGCGTGCGCCAGGCCTGGCTTGGAACCCCAGCACCAAAACAAAAGCCAGCCGCCCAGCGAGGGAGAGGGGGGCGGTGACCGCGCTGGGGAGCGCCCTCGGCGCACACTGCCGGCATGGCCCCAGGTGCACAGCGCGGGAGAGGCGGCGGCGAGGGCTGCGGAGAACACCGATGGGCTGTGCCCTGGCACAGGGCTGGCGTCACCCGTCACGTCGGTCTGCGCCCAGTACTGCGATGACAAGCAGCGCTCGGCCGCCGGCCGCCCGCGGCGGGGCTCTCCCGGAGCCTCGGGCGCAGCTCCACCGCCCACGCGGCAGGGCGTCGCGCCAGGCGGGGACTCACCGGGGACGTCCCTGGCTGCGCGCGCGCTCGCGCACGATACAAAAGCCACACAGCACGTTTTAAACTGGGGAGACGTTGCGTCCTTGACATTTCAAGTGAGAAACCAACAGTGATTGAGGCCGGAACCCTCCAGAGCGCGGCGCGGCGCGGCGGCAGGAGCCCCGAAGCCCAGGCGGGGACGCGGCGGGACGAGGCGAGGCAGGGCGGCC